GGTGATTTTTTTATTTCACTTTTAACGTCGGCAGTGCATTTCATTAAATCATTTTGGATTCTGTTTGAGGTACCTCGGAAAGTCGTCGAATCAATAAAATGATTTTTTTGGGTATCATCGTATTTTGCTAAGAAACTTAGAAGGTCCATGTAATTTCCTCGATTGGCGGATCTACTTGCTTCATTGGGATCCCTAAAACTTAGTTTATGCTCTCCCAGGAAACAAGTTACATCTATTAATCTTTGTAAGACGTCCCTATTTTTTTTACCCTTTCATTGTGAATTTTGTTGCTTATTTTTATATGATTGTCCAAACTATGTTCAATGCGATAGGCCCCAAATGTATTTTCTTTAATTGTAGCACTTATATGAGATTTGCTATTTACATGTCGTTTTACACTTTTGTGAAAATTATTAAAGTCTGTAATACCGACTGAATTCCAATGTGTTTTTTCGGCTATATTAAAAAGTAGGCAAGGCCAGCAAAACAATTTCTTCAAAGTTTTGCTGCCTGTTAACCATTCATTCTTTTCATAGAACCTTACGTGAAAATGCCTGCTAAATTTCTTTGCTGACTTTTCTACTTTCGTCTCTAAATTGATAGGATCCTTTAGTCCACTAGAATGAATAATGTCCGTTTTCTCTTCAAAATCTCTACTTGAAAATCCTTTTTTTAATAAAGAGCACACAATGCAGATACAATTTACCACATTATTGTTCACAGGCACAGTTTATAGTTCCTCCATTTTATAAAAAGAAAAACAACTACGAAAAACAAACCGAAATCTATCTGAAGTCTACGAATGTTATTACACGTCGTTTCGTGGTGCGAATTGCAATATGCGTAAGGCGACGTAAAAATTGCTGCCTCTCGACTGTATTTCACATGTCCAAACAGACTGACTCTGTCGCGGCAAAGCAGGATCAATAACACGAAGCGAAATCAATTGGAAGATGAGCCGGCTTTTTTAAGACGCGCTTCCGCCGACGGACTCGATGTAGGATGGTGAGTGCATTTACACAATTAATTTTCTCATGGGTGTTGCGTGCGTTTACACATTACACCAATTAATTGTTAGTGCATTTACGAAGTTTACGTAATGTTTCAGAAAAAATATAGTACCTAATTTAATATTAATTTCTATGCATTGTAAACTGACAAATATTTATTTTTAAATCTCAAAGTGTAGGGAAGCGGTGCTTCCCCCGCTTCCATGGACCGCACGCCCCTGTTGTTTACACTTTCGAATAAGATAACATCAACTTATCATGAAATTTTCAAATGCTCTTCTCTTGAAAATGGTGCGTCCTAGCGAGATGCAATAAAAGTAGCTTTATTATAAAGAAAACATTGGTTTTCCAAATTTTATTGTCAAAATGTTACAAACTGTCAACAAAAAACTTAGGGCAATTTTACCCTAAGCCCCCCCTATTTACCCACTTATGAAGATGATCAAAAACTGGGGTTTAGTCCATTAAATAGAGCGTAAAAAGTTAAGCATTTTTACCAAATGTCACTTAGTTATCTTTAAACGTATAGAATATATTTACAAAAGTGTGGTATCAGGACTTCACCTTTAACACCCTGTATCTCGGAAAAGAAACGTTGTCGGAACTATGTTTATATGAACTTTTACTACTATTTTAGGATGTATATTACGATGTTAAAGTCTAATTTCGGGACACCCTGTATATACTTCTTTATTTTGATGGACATAGTAAAGTTAAATCGTCAAGGCGATCTTCTAGCATAGTAGATCTTAGGTAAGTTTTAAATAATGTAGTCATCTTTTTAAACGCCCAAGAGTAATCGGAATCGGAATCGGAATCGGAATCGCAGTTTTGGAGAGACGACGTTAAATCCATTTATACAGAATGTTACTTTCCTTTATTTGGAAAGGCCTCTAGTGGCGCGAGCCCCCCCCCCCCCCCCCCCCCCGCTGCTCATGAATGAATCTTGAAAATAATGTAATTTATTTGTTTTTATAATATATATCTATCGAGTGTGTAATTATTGTTCATTAGGTTATTGTTTATTTTGTTGTAAACGGATGATATTTAGCAAAATATATATTTTATACAGGTGATTTAGAAAAAAAGATATCCCCCTTTAATAAAAAAACTGACACTTCTAAAATGTTGATGCAGTTGATGTAGCTGACCTGTGCGATTGTCTTCATAATATATTTTCACCGTGTGTTTCCAGTCATATTTTTTCTTTAGCCTAACAATGTCTTATTGCAATTCGTCACCGTAGAGGTCAAGTGAGTCAAGCCACAAATTTTGTGAAAATGAGTTAAGGGCATAGAAGCTCTTAAAAATCATCAAAAATACCATGCTCAATGTATTTGAGTCATAATATGTCCTAGTTTATGTATTTTTACTTTTTCTCAATAGATCTAGTCAACATTCACCATAGCAGTCAATGAGGCCAAGCCGCAAAAATCGTTTGACTACTAATAATTTCGTCTATTATTATTAAATAGATCCAAGCGGCTTAATACTTTTGATCACTACAACTTTCCATTGTTTGCCAGAAGCGTCTGCCAATAGTGCCAACTTACATTGAATTATTTTCTTCTGTCTGTGATTGTAGTATTATCTTGCTCTTACTCACCAAGCAATACAGAGAAACAAAATACGCTTCTTATTATGTCCTGTTTTTTACTTCCGTGCTGGTGTTTTTAAGAAACACGTCTAATTATTTAGGAAGTTTGTGTTTTTCTTGCTTTGATACTGCAAGATTTTGGATTTATAATGTAATTGAGTGTACTTAATGAGAGTGGTGAGAAATGAAGCTTTCACGTGGGAAGAAAATGGTTGCAACAGTTTAAGTCATTATAAATATTCAGCGTAGACGGCGACGAAGTGTATCTACCATAGATGTACCAAGATTGTACTGCGTCCAACTGAAAATAGCCTGAAAAAACTGAACGCCCTGTTAAAACTTTGCCAGGGAGGTAGCATTCCATCCATTTATCATGACTTCTATCAGAAAAAGTTGAAACCTGAAGACGGTCCTGTTGAAAAAACAGCAGTTCAGAAACTAATGAAGGCAGTCAGAGTGATGGAAATAATTAAAGTGTTCATTGATTTTGTAACTTGTAAGGTTAATTTCTCAGATTTTTTTGTGACAGGAATGTTTTGTTTTTTTTTGTTAGCTCGAATAAAAGTTTCGAAAGTAAACTTTTTTCTGAGCAGGATTGCTGGTTAATGATTGAAAAATCATCAAAAGTCTGTCAAAATTCAGAAATAAATAGATTTGGTCTTAATATAGGCTTTAAAGCGAAGCTGTACAGAAATATTTATTTTTGTAATAAGTGTTCAAAATAAGTGTGTGAAGTTGTACAAAAATATAAATAACATTTTTTATCTGTGTGTTTCAGAGTTGTCAACAGATATTATAGGAGGCTTGACTCTTTTAAAAACCGTACATGTAATGAAAAGTACATTTACTTAATTTCTTAGTGGTCAAAAGATATAACACACATATTTTCAAAAGTAATACATTTTTTAACACTTTTCTTCAAGCAATGAAAAGAAAATATCAAGATCTATCTGTATTCAAAATTTCAACATTCTATCTTTGAAAACAAGAAAATTTAGCACAAAAATGTTAAAATTATCTGGCCCATAATCTTTTGCAAGCTGTTTTCTCGAAATTAGGATTTTGTGGCCTGGTACTCTTGATATCTACGGAGACGAATTGTTCACTATATTAACCCAGTTTACTTCTGTTTGAAAGCAATTAAACAAAGCTCATAATTCAGCATTACAGCTCATGTACTTTTAATACTTTGGTACCAATAGACTGCATTAAAAACTACTTATCTTAAAGGTTTTTAATATATTCACTAAACTATTACTGATTTATAGACGAATTATTAGTTTTCTTGCATGTTCCTTGGGTTCTTCGCTTTCGAAATTTAGAATTATTTTTAATAGGTCCTCGTGCGTTTTTTGAGTACGAGTAAACAAGCGATATTTGCTCCGTAAATTATTAATTTTAAACATTATAACATTACTTAGGTATAGCTAGGCAGTGGAGTACCCATGGGGAGGGTTTTGGGGGTCAGCACCCCCCCCTTTATGGCGGGACTTCGCGTCGCCTTTTCCGCTATATTATTGGTTCGGATCGCTATTCACTATCTTGATGGAACCCCCCCATAATTCTCAAAAACCCCTCCCATGAAAAATGATTGGCTACGCACCTGGGTATAGGTATACTTATTTTCTTTTTATGTATGTACTCATGTGTGCAATATAAAATGAAATTTAAATGCAAATAATGATTATTTTAACATGTGTGTGACATCCAAGGTCAAAAATAATACGAAATTATTACAATTAGTTTTCATCCCATTAAACTTTCTGTGTTAATATTATTATTATATTAGGTATACAAAGTTGTATGGAAATATTGATAATACCTTTTAATAAAAAATATGTTATTTTAGAAGGTTTAGTAAATGTTTTATACTTGGTTAGTTGCAATCTTTATCGATAGAGTGTTATTAATAAAAAAGCATATAAATGGGAATTAGAATGTGATAGGTGATAACAGCAGCCAGTTTTATACAAATTTGATCAAGTTTCTAAAACCTACTGGTACTACAGACCCCTATCGACACGCCACTACCACCATTAGGATTTTTTTCTGTTTATAGCATCATTTATAATGTAAATATTGTAGAATTTTGATTTCAAAATTTGTATTTATACTATATTGTAATTGGATAAATAGTGATCCATAATAAATGTTTCTAAAGTAGGCCATGGCCGACAAAGATAGATATACGAGTTATCTTCGTAATAACTAGGCCTGCCTCTGAATTAAAACCAAACTGACACTCAAAAAGAAGAATTGTTCGCTCCGACTTACTTGAATTTTTCCAGTTCCTACTTTAGAAATATTTTTTGTGGATCACTGCATGTATTTATCTTCTTCAATATTTTGCTATTTGTATGATGTAAGTTAACAGATGTACATTTTATTTTTAGGGAGTTGGGCAAAGAACAAAAATGTGATTTTATGACAGTGGAATGCTCAAGTTACTTTACAGCAAGAGCCTTAGAGAAGTTAGGATTTGAACAAATTTATAGACTTAACTATGAAGAATATAAAGTGAATGGTGAAATAGTATTTAAGACAGAACCTCCTCATGTAGCATCTACTGTTTACGTTAAAGAAATAAAAAGCTAATATTAGGTATTTAGTGTTATAAGTAATACATTACACACGGGTACGTAATGGGCTTAGAAATTATTTTACCCACTATACTTTTTCTATGACTACTAAGTATCTCTAATTAAATGAAAGAAATTAGTGTTTGTATTTAATTTACAATTATAATGAACTTTTATAAAATTATAGAAATACTTAACTATTTAGCATTAATTTAAGAAATACTTTATTTTATATCGTGAATCCTTAAATTTCCTTCATGAAATAACACACCTATCTTTAGATTTAACTGGTAATAATTTAATTCTCGTAGCTTGGGCTTTTAAAATATCTAGCGGAGTACTCATGATTTCACCTTCGCTTTCCCTACTAGAAGACATTGATTAAATTGTCAATAAACTTTAGAGAAAAAATAAATTTTATCGTCTAAAATACCAAACTTTTAACAAAAACATCAATAAATTTGACATATACGTTTTTACTGTTTTTTGTTTATTTCTAAATATTGTTTACAGTTCATAAAAAATAGTTTAAAGTTATGTAATTGGTAAATAAACGATTGCATATTTAATACATGTTATCTACTTTTGGAATATATTTATAAAAGTGCAAAAACGATATAATTTAGGTAAGCAAAACGAACAAAACGCACTCAAAAAATCTACTATCACTTTAATTGTCAGTGGAATCATAATTACATCATCACTGAACTAGCGTATTTGGTTACCCCCGACATGTGCCGGCAGGTACCGTACGAAAAGAACGGTGCTCATGGCTTGTTTAAGGTACCATTTCGGTAGGCGCGTCAGGAGACAGGAGACCACCGAGGCGACCCCAAGGATGACAGATGCATGAATGTTACGCTCCGTACATTTGGGAAGCAAGGATACAGGTAGCACGACACCCGCAGACAACCATTCGAGGGAACGATCCAGCGTTAACAGACCTACTTTTTTTAAGTAGAACCACTGTTTTTGTCTCTAGCAAATTTTGTTCTTTATTTATTGAGTTTGCCTCATTCTTCAGCAAATGGTCAAAGAATATTGTCTTTAGTAATCTGCTGAAGTAAAAGCAGCGTAATAAGCATCCACTACTGTGGGTTGGCTCCATAAAAAACATCAAGATAATCATTATGTTTTTATTTAAAATGAAACAAAGAATTAATAGGGCATCATAAAAAGAACATGCATGCCAAACACAACGATTTTGAATTATCTGATTCAGACTGTGTAACGGTTAAAACCGTTTTTGTTATTTGACCCAGACCCAGACCCGTTTTCGTTATTTTGAAACCAACATCTCTACACAAACGTCATTTGTCGTTTATGCCTTGTGTCAAAACTCGGGTTGTCATTTCGATTTACCTCTTTCATCGAACAAGTTGAATTTTAATTTGAACTTTATCTGGGACATCCGATGTACTAGTTATCTTAAATATTTTTAATGACCGTCTATTTTTAAAAAAGGTAAGTTTCCTACAGATATTTTGTTGAAAATATATATTTAGTACAAGAATTTCTTTATTAAAATGTCAAATTTGAAACATAACCTCAACACATTGAAAAACACATGATCGCATGTTTTATACAATTTCATATATTATTTTGTTTGAAATAGATAATATGCTTTACTATATTTAAATATGTTAAATAAAACTTTTTCTTTTCCTATTAAATTTGGTCTCTGTGAAGCTATTCATTTAATAATTTGCATTTGTGCATTTGTGCACTTGATAGTAAAAAGCATCTTATCTGTTCCTATATAAATTCTCCCTAATTCCTTTCTTTATATTTTTACCTTTTTCCTTGTAGCCTTTCTGTATATAGATGGTCCCAAAGAAATCCTATAGAAGTTATATAGATGGTTTCAGTAGAAGTCGATAGAAATTATACAGGGTGTCCTTTAAAATGTGTCCCAAAATTCTCAGGCAGATTCCTTAACCAAAAAATTGAAAAAAAGTTCCTATAGACCTATGTTCTAAAGTGCCCCCTAAGCGAGCAACAGCCTCTCGAAATCATTTTTTTTATTTTAATTTTTTGATTTTTCTTAAAAATGGAAACAAATAAAAGAACCAAATTTTGGCTGTTAAATATGATCAATAATAGTGACCTTTTGACACCTTCAAAAAGAAATTATTTCGTCAGGGGTGTACTTGGGAATTTTTTGAAAATTTTGATTATTCATAACTTTTTTGTGTTTTTGGTAATGACTTATCCATATTTTTTTTTACATTCTACATTGAAAACTACGTCAAAAAGGAATACTTGTTTGATCTCGATTGGAGCAGCCGTTTCCGAGAAAACATCATCCAAAGATATTCGTGCAGTTTAGGTTAATTTTCAATTTTGGTTGTTGTAGCCAAAAAGTTGGAAATCGAGGAACACGGCTTACATGTCCCTATCCTTACTTTTGAAGGTCTATTCAGTGGCAAAAAATATTAGTTGATACAGGGTGATCAAAAATCGGATGTGATTTTGGATTTTTGATCACCCTGTATCAAATAATATGTATTTTATGTCACTGAATAGACCTTAAAAAGTTAGGATAGGGACTGTAAGCCGTTTTTCTCGATTTCCAACTGTTTGGCTACAACAGCCACCTGAATTTGAAAAAATGTGATTTTTGAGTAGTTGTAGATCCTTTACTATTCATATTAGATAACAAGTGTGATATATCATTGAAATCAGATTATCGAGCAGATTCTAAAAATATAAAAATATACAGGGTGTTCCATTTAAAAAACATAACTTTGATTTGGCACGGCCTTATGAAACACCCTGTCACATCGTAACTAATTTTAAAATGTGAAGCTTAAAGCTGCCTACTTTTATTATAACAGATCTACAGAGCTTCCTCGCACTAATCAATCACCCTGTATACTATTTTTAGCTCTCTAAATAAAATTTAAAAATTTAGTTCCCATTTATTTATTATGAAGACCATAAGGTTTGTATTTAGCTGTTTAGAATAAAAAAGTAAAAATATGTATTTTTTGGCGTTTTTGTGTTTCATGGATAATTTTTTTCGCTCACTGATAAAAATGTTTCTTCAGTTAAACATTATTTCTAAAAGTGTTCTGGTGCGATTCGTTGTATTGTTATTATTTTGTTTAAAATGGCTCACAATAACTACAATAATGATTACACATTCGGCGAAATGACGGACATGCACTTATGTTTTGGACTCGCTTCTGGAAATGCCAATGAAGTTCGCAGACTTTATCAGGAGCGCTTTCCAAATAGGCATCTTCCATGCGCTAAGACGTTTTCTAGAATTGACGATAGACTTCGGGAAACTGGTACATTTAAGAAAAACTCTAGTAACAGTGGAAGACAAAATTATGTGAGAACTCCTGCTTTGGAAGAAGCAATTTTGGATAGGGTAGCTGAAACCCCATCGACAAGTACCAGAAAAATAGCAAATGGTAAGTAATTACTTATTTATTATTTTAGCTACCCCGTACCTTATCGTATAAAACTAGTTTTTTTACTTGTTATTGCTTCTCTTACATTTCACGACTTTTCGTATCGAAAAGAGTTGCGCTATGCAGAAAAAATCTGATTTCCCAAATCAATGGATTCTCTTTCTTAACTATTCACTACACAGATTCTCTCATTTAATTTCAGAAGTGGGAGTCGGACGTAACACGGTATGGAAAGTTTTACGTGAACAACACTTGTACCCTTACCACATTCAAAAAGTTCAGGCACTTAAAGCTACTGATTATGAGCCGCGAGTTATCTTTTCTGCATGGTTTCTTGGAAGATGTAATCAAGATGCAATGTTTCTTAATAAAGTGCTATTTACCGATGAAGCTGGTTTCACTAGAGATGGTATAATAAATTTTCGAAATATGCATGAATGGGATGAAGATAACCCTCACGCGGTTGTTGAACGTCACCACCAGGATAAATTTTCAATAAACGTCTGGGCTGGAGTTATTGATAATTACCTTATTGGACCATTTGTTTTGCCGAATAGGTTAAATGGAGCAGCATACAGGCTTTTTTTGGAAAATAACTTACATGAGCTTCTTGATAATATTCCGATTCAAATCAGACATAACATGTGGTTTATGCATGATGGAGCTCCACCACATTACAGCCTTGAAGCTAGACAGCACCTTAACGAAAGATTTGAGGGTAGAGTAATTGGCAGAGGTTGTCCTGTTAACTGGCCACCTCGTTCACCAGATCTAAATCCAATGGATTTTATTGTTTGGGGTTATTTAAAATCATTGGTTTATTCCAGTCCTGTTGAAACAGTTGAAGAATTGGAAGAACGAGTTTTTCATCATTGCGAAGTTCTTAGGAATAATCCTGAAGTATTTTTTCGTGTAAGACAGTCTATGATGCGACGGTTGCGCTTGTGTGTGGAAACCAATGGTCGCCACATTGAGCATCTGCTTTAATTTTTTTTGATTTGTTTTTTTAGAATAAATATTTTTTTAAACCGTTTCTTATTATTAAATAAAAATAGTCCCACCACGACATTTGAACTACAATTATTTAGAGACAGCTAAAAAAGTTATTTTTATTTACGAGATTCACCGAGGTAATTTAGGAAAATTGAAAATTAACCTAAACTGCACGAATATCTTTGGATGATGTTTTCTCGGAAACGGCTGCTCCAATCGAGATCAAACAAGTATTCCTTTTTGACGTAGTTTTCAATGTAGAATGTAAAAAAAAATATGGATAAGTCATTACCAAAAACACAAAAAAGTTATGAATAATCAAAATTTTCAAAAAATTCCCAAGTACACCCCTGACGAAATAATTTCTTTTTGAAGGTGTCAAAAGGTCACTATTATTGATCATATTTAACAGCCAAAATTTGGTTCTTTTATTTGTTTCCATTTTTAAAAAAATTCAAAAAATCAAAATAAAAAAAATGATTTCGAGAGGCTGTTGCTCGCTTAGGGGGCACTTTAGGACATAGGTCTATAGGAACTTTTTTTCCATTTTTTGGTTAAGGAATCTGCCTGAGAATTTTGGGACACATTTTAAAGGACACCCTGTATAGATGGTTCAGAAGTTCAATAGTAGCTGTATCTACATGAATTTTGGAAGAACGTACAAGCTGCTTGTTAAGAAATTCGGAAGTACGTAGAATACATCAACCACCGAGAAAAGTTAACGAGATTTAACACTACCTTTGTAAATTTAACAAGAAGGCCTCTACAGTCACTCCTTACCTGTTACCTGTTATACCACAGATAAGTCAATAAATCATTTAAATTTGAATAATTAAGTCTCTGTGAATTAGAATTTGTCGCTACCTTATTTAATTATAATATCATAAAGATTAGTGATTTTCTATATTTTCATCACTGATCGATTGTCAAGTTTAGAGAGTTTTAAATATAGTGGCGTCCAATAT